TGGCAGGTGCTTTATTTCTGTAGGAGTGGTTGTTCCATTGGTGGTTCAGGCGATCCCGGCTCACAGGACGATTTCCTGTAGTCTGGCGGTAGTTATTCTCCCTCTGGATTGGACTGGGTCCTTGCTTGCTTCTACAGACCTTTGCGATGTGGCCTCTCTTCCCACAAGAACGGCAGAGCGCGTCGAGGAATTTGCAATCTGATCGCGGGTGGTTTGCCCCGCAACCAGCGCATTGGCGTGGGAATCTTTGGGTTCGTTGTTCTCGTTGGTCGCGTTTGGACCGGAGCCGGTTGACCTCTTCCTCTTCATTATCTGATGGGGATTCGAGGTCCTCATGGTGTGCCGTCATTGAGGGCCTCTCTGGACAAGGCGAGGTCTCATTCGCGAGTTTACGGAGCAGTGCGTTGGTGCGGCGCATTTGAGTGGCCGACTTCCTGGTTGCTTCTGCTGCAGTAGCGTCTGTGATGGCATCGGCAAGATCGATGTCCCCTTTTGCCATGATCTTGCTCTGCACCGTGTCGTCATCTAATCCCAGAACTATGCGGTCTCGCAAGGCTTCCTCGAGGTTTGAAAACCCACAGAGGCCACCCAGGTTCCGGAGGTCAGCGATGAAATCTGCAACGCTCTTGCCTTTCCGTTGGTCCCTCTGGTAAAACTCGTGTCTTCGAACCAGTGTTGGCACGGCAGGTGCATAGTGGGCTCGTAGGATGGGCGCGAGGGTGTCCCAATCCATTGACTTCACCTCAGCCGGTTTGGCAAGTGCTTTTGCCATCTTAAAAACGGCAGGCCCACAATGGGTTAGAAATATTGCTCTCTTCTTGCCAGTCGTAGCGTCCTTTAAGTTGTTGGTCTCCAGAAACATCTGGAACCGATCCATATACGAGTCCCAGTCTTCGTTAGTAGGGTCAAATGGAGCGGATGGTATGGCACCGCCGGACATCTTGCCATTGTAGGTGCTTCTTCAGCCACGTGCTCTGTTCGTTGCTCTGTAGTGTTCAGTCAGCTCTGATGTCTCCGTATCCCATCCTCGTCGCCAGTGTTAAGTTCTGAGCATGGGCACAAGGAACGGAGACGAGGCCGTGAACAGTGAACTTCAACTCTTTATTAACGATCAGGAACAGAGCGAAAACCCTGGGCAGCAACAGCTCTTTTATAGGGCTGACTGTTGTCCCATTAACCAATGACTAACATTGAAACGTTTAAATTGTACCCAATGAGAGATGTTCCGCTAATAGCCAATCAGGTTGCTCCATAAGGACCAATCCCAGCTCGTTATCCACGGACCAATCAAAAGTGCAGGATTACGAGCCTGCTTTTCTATCAAGGTTGTTAAACTTTATTAAATACGTTTATGTTAGTTCATAACAGGAAATGCTCTTGGATCAAAGTAGCATTTCCACTATTACTGTACTATTTTGGCATGAAAATAGCTCTCTCTCTAGTATTAATCTTGGGGTTGAGATGGAACATGTGCAAGAAGAATTTTAAAAAAAGAAAGCAATAACATTGCTTTCAGAATACTTTTCTTTTAGGAAAAAATGGGATGGCATTTCTGAACTCAGAAGCAAATTGCCAAGAAAAGTAAAACTGAAGCTGTGGTCCCAGCGGTCAATTTCCATCCATTTCTTGCAGATGTAGGAGGAAAACGTCACATGAAAAATTCCTGTTTTGCATATTTTGGGTTCTATAAGTCTACTTGTAAATTCACTACTCTTCTGTTCAGTGAAAGCTAAAACTACCACGAATGGATTTGTCTGTCCCATAGCATTAGATTCTTGTATTATCAAGGTAGTTTTTCTGCAGCAAAGCAATGGAGGTAAAACAAAACAAAACATGGTAAGCCAGCACAGGATTGTGAATCAGAGAGAAGCCAACAATCATTTTTAAAAGGCTGCCACCTCAGTCTTTCAGTATTTCCATTGCACTTCTTTGAATGATAAATGGGTATATCTTCATAACCCTGTTTTTCAAAACCATGATAGTTGATGCATGTTTGTTGTAGACTGGATTTTCTTTAACTTCATATCAATATGTCAATCATTGCAGACTATTTTCCACCAAGATCTGGTTTTGTCCTTTTGCCTGCCTAATAAATATTTTCAAATGTAATTTATGAGCTGCAATAGCAACCCTAGATAATTATAAAAGAAGGGAAAACTGCTTTTATAAATCATTTTCAACCATTCACTGTATAGTATCTATACACCAGGGAATTTTTTTTTGCTTTTTATTAATTTACTGCATTATATCTAAATATATTTATATAAACGGATCTGGAGAGGTGGACTGATTATGTTTTCCTACCAGCCAAGATACTTATGCACCAAATTTATAGTCACTATAAAGAAATAGAAGTTTTGCTTCTCTTTCCCACTTTTAAAATTAAATGAAAATCCAGTCTAAAAATATGGTGGAGAACCCAAAAAAGATAGTTATCATTACAGCAATAGCAATATCACTTAGACTTATATACTGCTTCACAGGGGCTTTACAGCCCTCTCTAAGCAGTTTACAGAGTCAGCATACTGTCCCCAACAATTTGGGTCCGCATTATCACACTTTTTGGTATACTCCTCAACTTTGCAGCCTAAAGCCAAGTACAAAATGCAGTATTGGGTGGTCTTGTGAACTCTTTGAGAATGGCCATGTCAAAAAATAGGCACTGCAGGGATTCCAAGAATGTTCATTGCTGTTTGTGATTAATTATATGCGATCATTATGTTATGGACTTAGTGACCACATAGGTAGATTTTCTCTCTGATGATCTGTCCCTGACTTGGTCCTTCAAGCCTTCCAATGGTACATTCACCAGAGCCTCACTGGGGCAGTGGTTAGAGTGCAGTACTGCAAACTACTTCTGTGACAGCCAGCTAGCTGTCTGCAATTTGGCAGATCGAATCCCACCAGGCTCAAGGTTGACTCAGCCTTCCATCCTTCCAAGGTGGATAAAATGAGGGCCCAGATTGTTGGGGACAATAGGCTGACTCTGTAAACCGCTTGGAGAGGGCTGTAAAGCACTATAAAGCAGTATATAAGTCTAAGTGCTATTGCTATCACTGTAATTGAATCAATCCACCTTGTTGCTGGTAATCCTCCTATCTTCCCCAGTATAAGAGCCTTCTCCAGAGAATTAGGTCTTTGTGTAATGTGTTCAGGGGAATTGCTCTTTGTTGTAGGACAGTAGAATAACAGGATATTGAAAGCCTCCTCCCATCCTATACTAAAATCAAGGTTAGATTATTTTGTTGGGGGTGGGGCATTCCCCCTCATATTTCCTTTTTTCTGTGTAATATGTTTTAAAAGTTCTCCCGTAACCGCTTGCTGGTATCTTCCATCTCCCCAAGGTGGGTTCTCAATTCCTTTATAGGTCTAGCCTCCTGATTAGAAAGGAAAGAACCTTATGGAAGGGAAGGAATCTTAAGAAGCCATTCATTGCAACCATCAGTTTGGATTGCATAGAATGTTCAATGAACAGAAAGTGTAGTCCGATTTTCTTCATTGTTATCCTTATTCATCTGGTTTGTAAATGCTTTCAACAAATTACTACTTCTGACTGAGCGTGAATTGGTGTGTTCCATAACAGGGCTTTGGGCTGCTAGCCATGGACTGGCCCTAGTTCCTTCTGCTGTGGTGTGAGAAATGGGAACATGTTCAGCAGTAGATGTGCGGTATAAAGTCAATGTGGCAGATACACACAACAATATTCCTCTGCAATACACTCCAGCTTAAATAGGTCTTATGCCATATCTTAAGACAGACAAAATGAGGTACAATTCATTTCATCCCAACTCATATGTCAAGTCTAGAGGGCAATGTTAATAGGGATGAAACTGAAATTCTGATAGTTGAAGAAAGGGTCAGAATAAGAATGAAGAAAAGCTTTTGTAAACCTCTTCTTGTCTCATCTTTACTATCTGACACACACACACACACAGAGAGAGAGTTCTTAGGGAAATTAAACCCTTCCTAATTAGAATGCAATATTGCAGGCCAACTCTGCCCACTGCCTGGAGTTCAATACTGACTGGCTCAAGGTTGATTCAGCCTTCCAATCCTTTCGAAGTCAGTAAAATGAGGCCCCAGATTGTTGGGGGCAATATGCTGACATTGTAAATTGTCATAGATTGCGGTAAAGCATATACGTTTAAGTGCTATCGCTACTGGTAACTATTGCTTTATATAGCTGCCATGTACCAAGGCTGGTATGTGGGAATGATCAGGGGAAAGGAAGAGCAGCAGCCTACAGAGTGGTCTGATAAATGAAATCTGAGCCTGAAGAAAGGGTGGAAAAGACATCTCAGAAAGGAATCCTCCTTAGATTTCAGGAGAGTAAAAGTAAGACAGGAGAGAGGTACTTTCAGACTTAGAAGATTCTATTAATGGAACCTTACAATAAAGGTAGAGTAGGTAGTCATTGTTGGTGGTTTTTGTCTGGATTGCCTCAAAGGGCTGACAGTTGGATATTTGTTTTCCTTATTGTGGGGCCCTGCAACATGTTGAGGTAGGTACAAGTACTCAAAATATGAGCATGGCCAGGAAAGAATAGGTGAAGTCAGAACAAAAGATGGGAGAACAATTAATATTTGATCAATAAACGCCAAGATAATTCTGCCTCTTTAGGAGATACCCAAGTGCTTCCAAGTGACCTAAATAGAGAATGTAAAATGTATCAGCCAAGATAGTTTGCTTTATATGCCACTCATCAGTATTTTTTCTTAAAGAATTTTTCTCGAATTAACTAGATAGTAAAAATATACCTATAGCAATTTGTAATCAGGTGTAGCATTTTAAAAAGATAAAAGGAGATGGTTTAAAAGACAAACCTTTCAATTCCAAAATACTTCTGAAGTTTAATTGAATAGGATCCAGGTGGGTTGAGGAGACTTACTAAGTTTTTTTTATTTTATCATATGTAGGCATCTGCGTTCTAAATGTTTTACATATGGACATCTTTAAATAAATACATTTTGAATGCAATTATCTTTTTAACTGCATTTCAGCCATTTCTTTAGTTTTCAGTATGTCAAAATTGTGCCTCTGTTTGACATCCAAAACGATGTACAAGAAGTTGTAGCTACCAACCCAAAGCCATTAGAGCTCCCAGATACAAGAGTGGGACCAGGCAGTTCTTCACTGCAGAATGATCCTGTGAAGAGATCGGGAAACAATGGCCATGGGAAGCATGCAGAGGTCCAAGATGCATCAATATCACCCCAAAAGCAAACCAGGAGTAGGCCTGTCATAGTGGAAACTGGTCAAAAATCAGCCAAGAAGAAAGAAAGGCCTTCATTAAACAAAACTCAAGCTAAAGAGAGTAAGGAGATACCTGCAGCAAGCCAAAACCATGCCAAAATTTTGGTTGAAACACGATCATTTAATAAAGATGGGAAGACTAATTCACCGGCCTCCAACAAAAAGGAAGAAACAAATAAAAGTATGGCACCAGGAAATGAAGAAAAGGAGAAAGCAAAGGCTAAACGGGTGACACCACTACCCATAAGAAAGCAGACTGCAGGAAAAGCAGCCAAACAACAACAGTTTCTTGGTAAAAATGCCACACTGCCCTCTAGAGCTAATCAAACTCACTGGAGAAAGCAATCCAACAAAACAAACTTCATTAAAGAACACTCTGCCAAGGCATCAGTATCTGATGTTCAACAAGTCACACATCCGGCTCCTTTAGCAACAACCCCTAAAAGGTTAAAAGCAGCTGACTTTAAATCTGAACCCCGCTGGGAGTTTGATGACGTTTACCTCTTGGATGATTCAACGCCACCGTCAGTAAGTACCATAGCCAGATTTTACCATAAATTTCCCGAAAACAAATATGCTTGCTGCAACATATACATATATAATAATTTATGATATAATAAAACAAGGGGTAGGTTTTATTACGATGCCTGATGCTTCCTGTTCACTTCACTTCATTTCACTTCATTTTTCTCGGAAACCATATATTATGAAGGCCCGTCCTGGGCTGCACCTTCTGCTTAACTTCGCTTCTAGCAGAACTCAGTGAGAGTAAATGTCATGCTTGCCTGCATGGTTGTTCCAACTTTCAGAGAACTTTGGGATTGAACTCTTCAATCACATAATCCAAATTTATTTTATTTACTTATTACATTTAGGCACTGCCCATCTAGCTAAATGGATAAGATTGCACAGTGGTAGGATTTCAAATTTTTTAACTACCAGTTCTGTGGGCATGGCTTGGTGGGCGTGGCAGGGGAAGGATACTGTAAAATCCCCATTCCCTCCCCACTCCTGGGGGAAGGTTATTGCAAAATTCCATTCCCTCCCCACTCCTCTAACCTGCTTTCCAGCTCTGTTCTCCTGTTCAGGGCAACAAAAGAGGACCCAGCAGATCAGGTGGGACTCGGGAGGCAGAGAATAGATGGGGGTGGAGCCAGTCAGAGTGGCATTTGCCGGTTCTTTGAACTACTCAAAATTTCCACTACCGGTTCTCCAGAACTGGTCAGAACCTGCTGAATACCACCTCTGGGATTGCATAGGATTTTATGGAATGAGAAAATAGCAATATTTCTTAAAGATACATTGCAACAATATCCACAGAAGATGAATCTAAAGACTAGATCTTGTTGTGATTGTGCTGTTGTACCCTGTCGGGGAGAAATAGTAATTCAGTGATTTTCATATACAGACATTAATATTAAGTAATCTAGCATCTACATTACGATTCCTTACACATGTTTGAGGATTTCGACTATTAATGTACTCAAATATTTCACCGATTCTTGTTGCTGCCAAACCAAGAATGTTTCCAGACATCTGGTTTCTAGTCCAGGTGGTCCTCGATTTATGATCTCAACTGAGCCCAAAATTTCTGTTGTTAAGCAAAACATTTGTTAAATGAGTTTTGCTCAATTTCACGACCTTTCTTGCTACAATTGTTAAGTGAATCACTGCAGTTGTTAATTAGTAAAACAGTTGTTAATTAAGTGAATCTGGTTTTCCCATTGACTTTGCTTGTCGGAAGCTCACAAAAGGGGAATTACATGACTATGGAGACACTGCAACCGTCATAAATATGAGTCAATTGCCAAGTGACTGAATTTTGATCACGTGACCATGGGGATGCTGCAATGGTCATAAGTGTGAAAAACGGTCATAAGTTACTTTTTCAGTGCCGTTGTAACTTTGAATGGTCAAATGAACTGTCGTAAGAACAAGACCACCTGTATTACTAGTCTCAAGGAATGTTGCGACTTTTAACAGATAAATTAAGAGAGAATAGTAGGAAAATACTAAGAACATTGGGGGATTATAATTGGAGAGCAGTATCTGGACGCCTCATAAAATTATTTGAAGAAAACTTAGTGTATGGAGGGTTTCTACAGCCATCACTAAAAAGAAAAAGGAAAGGAACACTCCATAGGGGAGAAAAATCAGCAAGAGTACGTTTACTTTAAAAAAACACACCCACACAGCCTTTGGACTATTTATTAGAATACCTGACAACATGCAGATCATTTTTACTCTGAGATCACATATCAATTATTGTCAGAACTCTGTAAGATAGTCAACAAGGATGGAAAGCTGCTGTGATTGGGCAATACTGTTTTTTTAAACAGTTGTCTTGTAACTTTTCTTCCCTTCTTTTTCCACTTCTTAGACCTGCCCAGATTCTTTGAGGAACAAGGCTGCCAAATCTGATTGGTTACATGATGTTTTCCTCCCCAACATCACAGTCTTCATGGACAGGAGTCACTTCAGTGACAGTGAATGGAAGCGTATGGACCATTTTGCTCCACCCTTTGGCTTCATGGAGCTAAACTTCTCATGTGAGCATGGGGTACATAGTATGGGTTAAAAGCAACACTACTTCTTCTGGTAGAAGGTATTAGAAGTCATATATTGAGCCAGTTATCAGTCCATCCACCCAAAACCTGCTTCATGTTTCCCCATCTTGTGATAAGGGAAAAGTCCATATTCTCAGCGTGATCCTAAGAAAAGAAGAAACATAAGTCATAAGATTATTGACATGTGATTGCATTAATATTTATTACAAAATTTATGGGCAGTAATAGGGTGGGTTTACTATGCACCATAAGATGATGCCGACAATTATACAGGACGATGTCGACAATTATAGCCTTTTTTAATGGCTTAAATTGTCTTATCTCCCAGTGGTGTTCTGCTTCAAAACCTGGGTGCAATATTACTGATCCTCAGGGCTAAATACAATGCCATTAAACACATGAGTGAAAATAGATCCTTCATACAGAAAAATTGTGAGGAAAGCCAATGAGAACAAATAGTAGCCTCCAGGGGTGGGATTCAAATTTTTAACAACCGGTTCTGTGGGAGTGGCTTGGTGGTGAGCGTCACTTGGTGGTCATGTGACTAGGTGGGCGTGGCTTTGTAGTCATGTTTTTGGCTGGGCGTGGCCAACTCAACATCACTCACATCGAGGCATGCATCTCCTCGCCTGGCCTCTCAAGACTGTGAGGATGCTGCAACAGTCGTAAGTGTGAAAATGGTCATAAGTCACTTTTTCCAGTGCCATTGTAAGTTTGAATGGTCACTCCACACAAGCAAAGTACCAGCAAAGGAGGGGGAAAAAAACTCCAGAGACGTTCCTGAGACGGAAGTCTAGTCCTGCCAAGAATGTAATAAGGGTTAATGGAGAGGCAGTTTCTATAAGCAACACCAGAATGTTTCCTTCCTGCCTTCCTTACAGGATTAGGCCAGTAATTTCTCCTAACAGCCGGTTCTTTGAACTGCTTTGAATATTAACAACCGGTTCTAGCGAATAGGTGCGAACTGGTAGAATCCCACCCCTGGTAGCCTCTCCTTTGATGACTAAAGCAAGCCACAGGGTCATATGATCATGGCACAGAACCAAGTTATTTGTGGGACCCCTTATCTCCAATTATTTCTGCCCATCCCACCTGATCTGACACAGCAGGCATGCTCCCCGTCTCTTCTATGAAACAGAGGAATGGGATCCCAAAAGCATGTGTTCTCTCTCGTGGTCTCTCCTTTATGAAAACACCCCACCTCCACCTCCAAAGACCCTCTTGGTCTTCCACTAGGCCTTTAAGATCTGGCTATTCCCTAAACCTTACGTGAACATGATTCATATAGCAATAGCACTTAAAGACTTATATACCGCTTCACAGTGCTTTTACAGCCCTCTCTAAACGGTTTACTGAGTCAGCTTATTGCCCCCAACAATCATGGATCCTGATTTTACCAACCTCGGAAGGATGGAAGGCTGAGTCAACCTTGAGCCTGGTGAGATTCGAACTGCCAAATTGCAGTCAGCCAGCAGTCAGCAGAAGTACTGCACTCTAACCACTGTGCCTCTACAGCTCAATGATTTCAGTGTTGGGAGGGTTTTACCAATTAAACCCCAATGAATTGTGCTGTATTGATCGATATTACCTGTACCGTTATTTTATTTATTATCAGTATTGTTGCTGATTTAAATTGTTGTTAGTTGCCCAGACTCTCATACTGAGAAAGATGGACATAAATAAAAACCTGCTAAAAGATTTGCCCTGGCTACAAGTTATCTACTATGTATAATTTAATTTTTACAACTCTATAAATGTCTTAGAACACAATTATCTGCAGGAGCACCTCTCCTGCTATGAACCTACCAGGTTACTTAGATTAGCTGGGGGGGGGGGGAAATCATCTGAAGATGGTCCTGCTGCTAGAAAGTAAACTTTTGGAACTATGGAAAAGGAACATGCTCCATAGGAAGCATGTTAATGAAAGTGATTGGCTTTCATTCAGAGTAGAGCAATACTGCCGTGCAATAGACTTGGCATGCAGGGGACCAAATTTCATTGCAATGTAATGATATAATTATGGACATTATAATATTAAGCAAATGATTCACTTTTTGCTATTGCATCTGTGGGCAAATACTACAGAATGCAGGTGGAGGGATTGCTACAAGGGGATGCATGCTAGGAAGTACAAGTTTCTTGGAATCCTGTCCACCATAACCAGGCTCCTCGGGGGGGGGGGGGGGGGGGGGGGGGGGGGGAACGGTGTGAGTGGGAGTGATTTACGATCTTCTCTGCCAGCTTCCCCATTGACTTTTCTTGTGGGAAGCTGGCAGGGAAGGTCCCAAATGACAATCCTGTGACCATGGGACACTGCAACCATCTTAAGTGTAAGCTGGTTGACAGTTGCTCAGATCATAATCACATCACCACAGAATATAAAGGACTGGTCGTAAGTATCTCTTATGCAGCACCACTGTAACTTTGGATGGCTGTTGAACAATCGTAAACTGAGGACTGCCTATATAATAATAGAATCTTGCAGGTATCTCTTTCTCCTTCCAATACTCCAGTGATTTCGGGAAAACATTTTAGCTTTTTATTTCCTGGTCAGGATTATGTAATGGCACTGACAATTCCAGATTCAGTTTGTATCAGAGAAGATCACAAGCTCTATGCACAACTGAACTTTCAATGCCAAAGACAAGATGGTCAGTGTAATATATTCTAATTTAGTTTTTCAGCTATGCCTGAATTATTTGTTGTGTCCCACCCTATTTGGACTTGTCTGATTTTATGTAACCTGCTAGCCTCTTCCTATGAATAATTGTGTCTCATTTCTTTCCAGTGGTAAAAGAAGTGATATCCATGCTTCCTTATAAACCCTACCATCACATTCTCTTTGCACGCAACAGCAGTCAGACCTCCAAGTGCATCACTTGTGCAGTAGTAGGAAATGGAGGGATACTGAATAATTCCAGAATGGGCAAGGAAATTGACTCTCATGATTATGTGTTCCGGTAAGAAGAACAGGAGTTCTGCAGAAAGTCTGAGGTTGTATGCAGCGTTATCTATTAAAATGCTACCTGCACAGTCACAATTCTTCTGCTGTCATCCCTGAAGCATAGCTACCTCCTCTTCTCCAGGTTAGTTGCTGCATCCTCTACGTTACAGCAGGGACTCTTTATCCAGGTAGTAAGTCTACCTTTCAGAAGACTTCTGGATGCAGGAAAAAAAAACTGGAGTACTGGAGTAGGCAGCTATATTTGCCCTGTTTGTATTCTGTGCTACGGCAAGATTTGCAGACACTGGCTAGTTCCACCCCACTTTTCTTACATCCATTTGGAGGAACAGAACTGGAAAATGACTCTTCAGCTGCCACTCCATAGAGAGAAGTAAGCTTTTTTGGGATCTGGAGAACTGGTACCAAATATACTTACTTCCAGAGGTGGTATTCAGCAGATTCTGACCAGATCTGGAGAAACGGTAGTGGAAATTTTGAGTAGTTCAGAGAACCAGCAAATACTACCTCTGACTGGCCAATCTATTCTCTGCCTCCCAAGTCCCAACCAATTGGCTGAGTCTTCTTTTGTTGCCCTGCCCAGGAGAACGGAGCCGGAAAGCAGGTTAGTGGGGTGGGGAGGGAATGGGGATTTTGCAGTATCCTTCCCCTGCCATGCCCACCAAGCCATGCCCACTAACCCACCCCCACAGAACCAGTAGTAAAAAAAATTGAATCCCACCATTGCTTCCTTCCTTCCTCCTCTTGCTACTTTTCTTGTCATCTGCTGATTACTAAAAGAGATGGGAGAGTTTTTTTTATTAAGAGAAGTGAGAGAGATGGGGAGGGTTTTTTTTTTTTTTTTTTTAGCACAGAGTGGAAGCTGTCATTCACCCAGTGCCAGAAAGCAGATGGAGCTGAAAATCAGACATCAAAGATCAGAGAAAGGTCTATAGCAGCTTCAGTAGGCCAATTAACCTTGCTTCTAATCTTATCTTAGTCTGATGCTCTGTGTGACAGTCCAGATCCATGGCTACTACTGGAAGAAGCTGGAAAATATAACCTTGAAGCAATTTAAGAAGAGATAAGCAGTGGCTGCCTTTGCAGTGGACCAGAATAGATAGAGGACAATATTGTGTGTTCACATTCTCCACAAACAATGAGATATCTTCATGCCATGGCAAGCAGGATGTCTGGATGATTCCTTGATTTTACCCAAAGAGAAGCCAGGAATAGCCAGCTTTAGTTCTATTCTGTCAATACCAATATAATACTGCTAATAAAACATTTTCTTAAGGTTTATTGGAAAACAATGTGATTATTACTCTATCATATTTCAGTGATGGTGAACCTTTTTAATGTGGTGAGCCGAAAGCATGCATGCCTGCTGGCACCCACAATGCAATGCGCCCTGCCTCCCTGCTCATGTGCTCGCAACACCTCCACCCTGCCCCCTTACCTGCACTATGCATGTGCATGCCTCCCAGCTGATTTTCGGCCCGCTTGAGGCCGTTTTTGCCCTTCTAAGGCTTGAGGGAAGCCTCTGCAGCCTCAGGAGGCTGAAAAACGGAGGACTTCCAGTTTGAGCTTCTTCAGCGACAGACCGAAACCTCGTCTCTGCAAGGCTTCGATCTGTGCTCGCCGCTGGAGCGCCCTGAGCCGGCTGGTTTCGGGGCTAAGCCACCCCATAGAGGTGGTGAAGAGGGGGGAGACTGCTAGCAGGGTTGAGGAGAGCCGCATCTCTCCTCCCCAGCTGGCCATTACTCCCTTTCCTGAAGGCGGTTGCAGCGGTGGTCAGAAATGGCCACCACAAAGAAGAACTCGACCAGAAAAGAATGTGCAGGAGGAAGATAAGAAGATAAAGTTTTGGTTGACCGGGTCAAACAGCAAAAGCAACAAATAAGTTACCCTGGAATTGAAACTGTTAAAAAACAATAACATTGTTCCCTAAGAAGATTTTTAAGCTGCGAAGGAGAGAGAAAAGGGAAAAGATTTGGGTTTTTTTCCCCCTCCTTTTCCTATACTGACAGCTAAGAGATTTAAGCAAGAAATTGGAAAAAAAATCCACTTTGACATCAATAGGCATTTAATGCTGAAAATAAAAAGTCAAAGGGATAATACAAATTTCTGGATAATTAAAAGCTTTTGAAAACAGGAAAGGAGAGAAAAAGAATAAAAGGGTAGGATCTGGAAGGGAGGAGACTGCCTGGAATTAAAAAAGAATTTACAGCAAAATCTCAACAAGACTTCCAAAAGATACATTCTAACTGAAATATCGCAACAAAAACCCCAGGAAGAGAAAGTCGAAAAAGAAATAAGAAGATATAACTTGGGACTATCTGGATTACTTGATGATTTCTGGATTCTTGGTTATTGTTTTGAATGACTAAAATCAATCGGGTGGTTGTTTAAAACTGTTTAAAATGGCTCCACTTTTAGAAGAACTGAAAATGGAACTTAAAAATACAAAGAAGATGCACAAGAAGGGAAGGGTTCTTTTGGCTTCGTATTTCAGTTTTTAGAAATGGAGATTTGGAATTATGAGAAACAACAAGAAATGCCTGCAGAACAAGAAGATTGTGACAAAGAAGAAGCCATCTTTAATGAACAAGTAATCTTAGATGGGGGAAAAAAGGAAAGGGGGGGAAAGAGAATGGAAAGTTTAAGATTGAGAAAAACAACTCCCCCCCCCAAAAAAAATAGAGTGAAAAATAAGTATAAAATCAGAAAGCAACAGAAGAGGGAAATGCAGAAGAGAGAATTAGAACTAGAGAGACAAGGGGGTAAAAAGGGGAGGGAGAAGATGAGAGGGAAGAAAGAAAGGAAAAGAAGTTATAAAGGACAGAAGCAAAATATAGAGAAACAGGGCCTATTTAGAGATAATGGGGGGAAACTTAATGGAAAAAGGGATTCTGCAAAGGTGCATAAGATAGTATGGTTATATTAGAAGCAGAAATAATTTTAGAAAATATGAAACAATGTATGATTAAAATGTCTGATAAAATAGCTATCGTAATTCAGTGGAATGCTTGTCAATAAATAAATGTAACAAAAGGTATATTTAATGATTTATAAAACATATGTGAAGAGAAATAAGAGAAAAATTAATTATGGAGATTATATGTGTTTTTAAGGAATTATTATATTTAATTGAAAAGAAGTGTTAAAGATGTTAAGATTTTAATGATTATTAATGATAGAACTGAACTGGAATGGAATGAGGGTTTATAATTACATATATTTACAATCTTTCTTTAAAAAAAAAAAAAAAAAAGAATATAGTGTGTATTATAAGAATGTACCAAGCAGAATTTGATTGGAAGTTATGTATTATATTAAAGGTCATAAACCTAAGGTATATATTGAAGTTTAAATAAGAGTTGAATAGATGTAATTAAAAGATATAAAGGTGTCATACTCCAGGAGAAAACTTGTTTAATGAGAAAAGATAATATGAAATTGAAACAGAACAGACAACAGTATAAATATAATGATTTGAATTGAGATGAGATAATCAAAATAAAATTGAGAAAATTAAAAGAGGGGAAAAACTATATAGAAAATGTAAAATAGTATAAGATATGGAATAGAATACAAAAAGGAGCATGAAATTGAGTTTTGTGTCTGTATAAAGAAGTTCAACCCGGGACCATGCTATTTTCAAAAAAGATGTTTTACTTGTACTTTGTATGTGTGAAAACCCAAATAAAACTTTATTAAAAAAAAAAAAAAAGGAGGAGGCTGAAAAACGGACCTTCTGGAAATACCAGAAGTGCCCATTTTCAGCCTCTGGAGGCCCCAGGAGCCTCGGGAGGCTGAAAACGGGCCCGTTTCAGCACTTCTGGTATTTCCAGAAGGCCCATTTGTTTGGCCTCCTGAGGCTGCAGAGGCTTCCCTCGAACCTTGGGAGAGCGAAAACGGCCTCAAAGGGGCTGAAAATCAGCTGGGAGGTACACGAATATGCAGTGCAGGTAAGTTTGGCTGGGACTCGTCTTGTGCCTGCAGAAATGGCTCTGCGTGCCATCTGTGGCACACGTGCCATAGGTTCGCCATCACCATTACATTTGATAGGCTGAGGTTTCTTTCATATCTATGCCTGGGCAAGGAACTTGGGAAAGTGAGCTGATTAACTATCAGCTCGGTTCTTCTTCCAGAGGAGGGCAGTTTTGCAAATTTCCTTCTAGAGCAGCAAGGAAGATGGATTCCCATTGATGGAAATTTTCATCTTGTTCCACTTCCTGGTCCCTATAACTTCTTCCTGCATCCTGAGATTTTCTGGCAGATCTTCTTCCCAGACAACTTCTCCACAGTGACTGGCTGGCTTTGATTTTTTTTTTTTCTTCTTCACATGAAAGCTGCTTTTTGTACTTTCCCGTTGGCCAGCTGGAAGCATCAGAGAATGACTTACTGGAAGTCAGTGCTGTGGAAATTAGACAGTAGAAAAAAATGTTGCTAGTGGTTGGACACACAAAAAAGTCCACAGTGGTGCTCTGCAAAAACTTAAAGCTAAGACATTCTCTAAGTCCAATTGGAATTATGAGAGCAATTCTCACTCATCAACCGATGGGTATGCATGTATGGAATGTATCTTAATATTCTCCTGGAATCTTGTAAATTATGTATATGTATCTGAAGAAGCTCCACTTAGCTAACTTGGTAATTTTATATGATCCCTTTTACCAGAGTGAGTGGAGCTGTGATCAAAGGTTATGAAAAAGATGTGGGAACAAGAACTTCTTTCTATGGATTCACAGCTTACTCCTTAATGACTTCAATTATGATTCTGGGGAATCGTGGATTCAAGAAGATCCCTGCAGGAAAAGTAAGGCAGATATCCTTATATTTCTCCTCCTCCTAGTTGAACATTAGTTGTGAGAGCAACTTAAAGGCACATATCCTTTTATTTCTCCTACTACTACTTTGAACAGTAGTTGTGAGAGCAACTTAGATTAGAAAACTCTAAACTTTCCTTCAAGTTTCACAAGCCAACTCTGATTTATCCCTCTTTTACTCAAGACTAGCAGAGAGTGCCCAGCCCTATCTTTTATACTGTGGCACTCCATCTGCTGTGCCCCCTCCGAGTGTATCTGTGGCATGTTTCCTAGGAGATCAAGTATCTACACTTCCTGGAAGGGACAAGAGATTATGAATGGCTGAAAGCTCTTCTTCTGAACATCAATGTCAGGAAGGGATTTTTGGACGACTATGGGTGAGTAGTGCTGTGCTTTCTGGATAAGGGCTCCCACAATGGAAGGTAAGAGGGAGCAAATAGCAAGACATGCAGTGACAAGAGGTCATCATGCAAATGTTGTGATTTGCATAATCTCATAACCTCAGGTGTTGGGAAGCCAGTACATAATGGTATTGGATATGCCTGATGACATTGGCATGTCACTGTGTGGTTTGCTATGGACGCTGCTGAGGAGGAAAATGCAGAAATGAATACGTATGAATAGAATATGGGCATAAAATGCCCATTGAAATGCATACAAATAATGTAGCATAATAGACATGGACAAAGCTGGACAAAGCAGGTCCAGATGCCGAGGTTTATCCAAAGTATATCTGGATCAGGACAAAGTAGGCCTTTCAGTCTTTATTATCTTGCAATTTTTCTGCCTTGGCAGAGTGGAGAGTTTTTCTTGACCTTGCACTGCTGACCCCTTGCAAATATTTTGAGGATCTTTCTCCAGTGTGTAAAATGTTAATGAATAAGAATGGCTGCATTTTCATAATTTATTAACATTTTGGCACACTGTGCCCACATCTCATTTGGCAGAACAGAAAAATAACATTCTCAAATAAGAACTCTGAAAACATTCCCCCCACCTTCAATAATTTAATGAATAATCAGGTGATGAACCAGACAAAATTTAGATTAATTTTGTGAGTTCTGCTTTCAAGAATCTCTGGTGGCCCATCAGTTTCCTGTTAATGAAAATAAATGGCTAAGAGATTAAAAAAAATTGAGTATAACAATTTCTATTGGCTTTTTCATAGGGCTTATCCCTTCAGCCTTGTTATGATATGCTTTCTCCTGTTCTTACAATGGAAGTGAAGTGTGTTGTTTTGAAACCTACCATCCAATTTCTTGCCCTCTAGTGCCCTTTCCTTCCCTCACTGGGGGCTTACATGGCACTTTGACCAACAACTTTAAGAGTATTCTGAAGTTGGTTGTCCAGCTGACTTTCACCATTGCAGTGGCCCTCTCCATTTCTTGTTAAAGAGTTGTGGTGTGAAATGCTTGGAAATGAACATTTGTAGAGTGTTCAATTGTCCATTTCTATTTTGCGGAATGGCCCAGTTTCTTTGTCTACAATTTTCAGTCCCCCATAATTCTGTCAAAGATCAATTAACATCAAATAACATTCACCATCCCAGTAACATTTTAATAATTCCAAAAAGGAGGGGGGGAAAGCACACAGACAAATAAAGCTTGAACAGATTGGTGTATTTCCTGTGCACTGCTGTAATATTCCTTCCATGATTGACTAAGATGGAGGACCAAAGAGGAGAAGGACGAGCAAAATAAGTTTTTGTATCATTGCCCGTTTCACAAAGGCCTTCATCATGGTAGAAGATGCTACAGCAACAGAAAGTCTGACCTCAGAGAAGGAATTCCACAAAGTCAATATTCCCTGAGTTGAAAAAAAAAAAGAACATTTTAGTGAAGTTTTGTTTTCTCTTGCAACCAAAGAAGGGATGACTTTGGAGGCACAGAATCCCATTGCCAATGATATAGCATGGTCTTATCATTTGGAGCCCTGAAGGCTGCCAATGTTTCCTAGGAATACAGAATGTTTACACAGATGCTTTTGTTCCGTTTTCTGATGGAAAACGTTACTTTCCTTGACCTGTTCTCAGCCTGCCTCAGGAACAGGATGGCAATATAGAGGAAACACTGAGGGAAAGAAAAGTGCTCCACAAAGGATAAATGAACTTCTCAGACCTATGTAGATGAACCCACAGTTAGGCTGGGTAGAGTTCTAAGCAAATCGGAGGGAGGCCAAAATGTGCATAAAGGTATCCTTCAAAGACTGCCGTTAAGTACATATATCCTGACATATGTTTTATATCACACACATTTTGCCATATGCCTCTGGCCCCTTTTTAAACAATCACATTCCTTAACATTTTTGCCACCTTCTCTCTTTTCAAAAAAAAATAAAAGCTCTGTTGATCCACTATTTTTTTCTCACTTTTCCTTTTAATAATAGCTGTTATGTCAATGTGACTTTAACTGAAGAATACAGTTCAAAAATATACACACCTTTGACTCCTCAGTTTTCCCCATTCCGATCTTAGATACAGTGTGCAAAAAAATAAGACCTTTCATCATCACGTTAACTTATAGAAAAGCTAGCCAAACCAGCTTTGGTTTGAACTGTACATAGTTTGCCTAAAGATATACTTTTGTTTTTATAGACCAAGGCCCCGGGATAAATTTGACAATTTCAATTTGGATCAATACTTTGTGATTCATCCAGACTTTCTCAGATACACTAAAAACAGGTAAGACATAAGTAAAGTGAAGGTCAAACCTCAGGAACAGTTTCAAGATTTTAAATTAGCAGCATTGGCAGTATGGATAGATGTACAAAACAATGTCTTGTTTCAAACTTGCAACAAAGTACAAAACATTCCATCAAAATTATTACAAGCTGGCTGTTTTCTATTGGAATGAAACATAAAACAGGTTGAGCATTCAATAACTGGTCAAAACAAAACCCAAAATATTTTTTGTTCTGACTATAGGAAACAATGAGAACATGGAGCCAGCTGCTGCTGCCTTATTTTCATTCTAGGATTATAAGAATTAGATGGTGGTGGTGGTGGCATTTCATTGATTTATTTAAATTACAGGTAGTCTTCAACTTATGATCAGAATTGAGCTCCAATTTTTTTTCTGCTAAGTGAAATATTTGTTAAATGAATCTGGCCCCGTTTTATGCTCTTTTTGGCATAGTTGTTAAGTGAATCACTGCAGATGTTAAATTAGTAACATGGTTGTGAAATTAATCTGGTTTTCCTATTGACTTTGTCAGAAGGTTGCAAAAAGTAATCATATGACACTGCAACGGTCATAAATGTGAGCCAGTTGCAAAGTGTCTGAATTTTGATCATGAGACCATGGGGATGCTACAATGGTCATAAGTGGAAAACGGTCATAAATCCCTTTTTTCAATGCTTTAACTTTAAACGGTCACTAAGTCAACTGTTGTAAATCAGGACTACCACCCAGATTTATATGGTTGCCTTCTTGCTAAATGATTCTGGGTGGCTAAACAAGGATTACAAATATCTAGGAGAAGGAAAATGATAAAATATAAAATATAATGTGAAACACACTATACCAGCAACCAGATACATAGTTCATGTTGCACAGCAAGCTCCTCTAACTTCCTGGCCCAGTGGGGGAAGAACTGCTCTGCCATCAGGGCGACAAACTAAATTGAGGAAATCTGTTCCACAGCGCAGATGCTGCAACAGAGAATGCCACAATGCTCAAATGGAAGAACATTTGACCAAATTTGTGACTTTAAAAACATCAACCTATTACAACAAATCTCTGCTGAAAATAGTAGAAACAAATTTCAAAAACACCTGAAAGTTATATTTAGATTAGCATCTGTTATCAGCTCCTTTTCCATTCCCCTACCTCATTCTCAACAGAAATAATGTTTCTTAAAAGTAAATCTTCAGGGTCACTTACCCAACACATTAGGAGACAAAGAAAGCAACTAAACTCCCTAGCATTTCTTACAGTCTTTGGTGACTAATTCGTTTTCTTAAAATTTGTTTATGTTTTGGTTTACCTTTCCTTAGCTAAGTTTCAGAAGGCACAGATCTTTATTTTATTTTTCAGCCTGTTTGCCAGGTGCAATCCTGACAAAAGCAACATTATGATTTTCTGATGGTTTTGTTTCCACCCTGAGATGAACCAGCAGGTTGTTGATGTTTCCTAACTGAAAGAATAATTCTGTAAAGTTATGGTCAGATATGAGAGCACACAAGGGACATACACATACACATAGTTCAGCATGCCAATCCTCTATTATTAATCTTTGTATCTGAATCTCAGGAGCAGTATAGTTGAAAACTCTTATGGAGAAGACACAAAGTTCTGAATCTTCCCTTTGTATTATTTTCACCTTCTTTTGCCATGTATTTACCTTCATTATTTTTTCTTCCCCCTTAATATTCTATACTCACATTGCTCCATCCACTCTCAGACAACAGTAGCAGTAGTTCCAGCTTCTGAACTAGTCAGTATGAAACATTAAAGGAAGAAGCCCAAACACAAAACACAAAACAGCAGCTCCATCCCAGGATTTGGAGCAGTCAGAATCCTCAAAACTAGGCCTCTTGAAATTGCTCAAATTTTCTTTCGTGCTTGGAATAAAATAGTGGGAGTTTTATTTCATGCATGCACAGAATAAATTTCTCAAAGCACCTACACTCAGAACATTGAAACAGTTCTTTTGTGCTTGGCATATTCCAAGGTTGGGACTTTTTGCTATCTCCAGCTTCCAGATTCAGTTCAGGATGGGATTCTTGGAGTTTGAGTAATCAGGCTGGCATTAAGCAAGATTTGCCTGGAATGTAGCTGTGAAAACTAGTGTGTCTCCTGAAACTATTCCTCCTTCACAGCCTTAAAGGTAGAGAGGATCCCTTATCAGATTGAACCCAAGGCAAGTTTAAAAACAGACACAATTCATTGTGAGTCTATGGTCAGTTTTAAGAATGCCTTATAAATGTCTTTCAACCTGTTTGTTGAGTGCTGAACGCCAGCTCATTCTCTGAGAAGGCCTCAAGGAGAGGACCTGCTCAGATTTCATTGTCTTCCTGTACTACCTTTTGAAATCTCCTTTTATAACCCACCCCAGGTTTTTGAAGTCCAAAACTCTAGAAAAGCCCTACTGGCGCATATAGAGGCCTACAACAGGTGCCTTCCTTCTTTTGACTGCACTCCACCTCTGTGATCAGGTAAGGGTTCAAAGATGCTGCACAGAATTTAAAGGTGAGCCACAAAGTTAAGGGACATTTGTCTCTTGCACCATCCTTTAGGAAAAACTTATTTAGCAATCAGTGGATCTGCTGCTATTTCAACATTTGGTGTTTTTTCTCTACTTCACTAGAGAAATGCCTCAGGGCAGGGATAGATGCTTTTAGCCCTTGTCCCCTCGCATGACCATTTCTGTGCTGCTGTTCCTTTAATCATATTCTTTCAACCCTTCATTTCTTGACTTAAAACAACAGAAACCTCAAATTAAAACCCTTTCTGCCTGAGTGAGTTATCCTGGCCCTGATTTACTTCATGAACGCCACATCTGCATGCCAGCCACATAATGCAGTTCTAATGCTAAACTTGTGGCTAACCCTTTTCTACTGCATGTCTTTCTTAGTGAAGTTAATTTCAGTAAAAAAAAATGTTTGAAGGAACTCTGAAAGTCCCGTCATCCCCAAGGCTTCCCGAAGAGCAGATTTTAATGAGATAAGCTCATTTCTTTCCTCAACTTCCTCTACAGCTTTGCAAATTCTTGGATTTCTTTGACATCTCCACAGAGTTAATTCACCATATCCATAGAGGGGCAAAGTCATTTCCCATTCTTCCAAAAGGCTTTAAATTAATCTTGCCTTCTTCGTCTTCCCATTTCTCTTTCAAATTTAAACTGTTAAGTACCATTCCCCCTCATCTTCCAAAGCCACAATTCTCAGTTGCAGAAGAATGGTTGCTGTACTAGCACAGATTTTTCTCCCCACTAGCTTCACATAGCTGGTTTGAAGTTGTCTGTTTCCACATTATTCATGGGAATGCTCTCCAGAGGAAGGACGAGGTATGGATTAGTTATTCATTGAGCAACTAAGATCTAAGCTTTACAGACATTTACTCAGTGTCCTGGACAAAATATAAGAATACGTAACTCAACATCTTAATGGTCCCAGTGTTTTGGTCATAGCTCCTAGTTCTTGTTGTCTAAGGCAGTGGTCCCCAACCTTTTTTGTACCAGGGACCAGTTTCAAGCACAAACACTTTTTCAAGGACGGGGGGGGGGGGGGGGGGGAGAAAGAATCCGAGTTTGGTGGTTTGCTTGCAGACGTTTCATTACCTGACTAGGTAACATCTGATGTTGTTACCTAGTCGGGTAATAAAACGTCTGCCAGCAAACCACCAAGTTCAGGGAGCGCCTCGGCCCTGCCTCCCTCAGCCCCATCCCTCAGGTGTCTCCCTCCCTCCCTCAGGTGTCTGCCCCGTTCCTCTCTCAGTCGCTTTCTCGCTGCTCCACCAGCCCAGGAAGAAACTGCTTCAAAGAAGCCGG